GAAAACTTGGCCCATACCTTGAGCCTGCTCTTTCAGATCCTGAAATTGTCATGTAACCTATCTTCCTCTCAGCCCACAGCATCTGGAGTTGTCTTTGGTGTACCTCCTATATCTTCACCGTAGTGAGGTATAAATGAGTAAGGTCAAGGGCAGAGGCCTGGAGTCTGTCCCCGGGACCTCTCTTCCAGATGGGTATTGATCTTTTAATCAGTACTCTTTGGCTGTGCTCAACCAGTTATGACCTTGCAAAATCTCAAAACTGTTTTATGAAGTCCTCTCAGAATAAAATCCTCGTTACCATTTGTGTATTATTTTCTTTAGGGAACATGCTATGTGTATCTATGAGTCATGAAAAGCTTGCTATTTCTTTTTTTTTCATAAAGTCTTACATTTAACATGCTTCCTGCATAAGTCCATAATTCAACATGTTCTGACACAAATGATACTCAAGTAATATTAAGGCTTGCCTTGACAAAATAATATATTGTCAAAACTTTTTATGAGGGATTCCCTGGTGGCGCAGTGGTTGAGAACCTGCCTGCCAATGCAGGGAACACGGGTTCGATCCCTGGTTTGGGAAGATCCCACATGCCGTGGAGCAACTGGGCCCATGAGCCACAACTACTGAGCCTGCGCGTCTGCAGCCTGTGCTCCGCAACAGAGGCCAAGACAGTGAAAGGCCCGCGCGCCGCGGTGAAGAGTGGCCCCCGCTCGCCGCAACTAGAGAAAGCCCTCGCACAGAAACGACGACCCAACACAGCCAAAAATAAATAAATAAATTTATAAAAAAAAAAACAAAAATAACTTTTTATGAGAAAATGAATGAAGCCATTTCACTTTATAAAATTAATTTAAAATAAAAGTTATAAGTTAGAAGAGTTTGCACAGTGATTTCTATATAGAATGAAGTTCGGCTGCTTTTTCAATAGAATCAAAAGAATATGTAAATACTATAAGCCCTTACATTTTCAGCATAAAGTTTTCAGATTGGTCAGATTAAGACCAATAGACTTGCTCAAAGAAGTTCACATTGCCGGTGGGAGAGGCAGCCATGGAGCCCAGGGCATCAGTGCTGCTGAGTCGAGCCTGGCCTTTTCAGCAATGTGCATTAAAAAGTTTTGATTGGCCAAAGGATTTTAGAAAATGCTAGAAGATAGGTAGTACATCTATGGTGTTAAGCAGAATTCTAAGATGGTCTCTAAGATTCCCGACCCCTGGTGTACATGCCCTACAGAATCCTCTCTACTTGAGTATGAACAGGACCTGTGGACATGATGGCTTATCACTCCCATGATTAGGTTACATTCTATGGCAAAAGGAATCTTTCAGATATAAATAAGGCCCCTAATCAGCAGACTTTGAGTTAATAAAAAAGGAGATTCTCCTGGGTGGGCCTGACCTAGTCAGGTGAGCACATAAAAGAAGTCAGAGAAATTTGAAATGAGAGGGGTTCTCCTGCTGGCCTTGAAGAAGCAACTTCCTTGTTGTTGAGAGGGCCACACAGCAAGGACCTCAAGTGGCCTCTAAGACTTGAGAGTGGTCCCTGGTGATGGCCAGTAAGGAAATAGGACTTCAGTCCTACAACCACAAGGAACTAAATTCTGCCAACAACCAGTGAGCTCGGAAAAGGACCCCATCCTCAGAGAAAATCACAGTCCTGGCTGATTCCTTGATTTCAGCCTGGAGAGACCCTGAACAGAAGACCCAGCTAAGTTCTGCCTGCACTCCTGACCCACAGAAACTATAAGATAATAGATGTGTGTTGTTTCAAACTGCTGAGTTTGTGGTAATTTGTTAGTCAGCAGTAGATAACTAATACACATGAAGGCGAGTTAACAGTAGGGAGGAGGGTTGTTCAGAGGGAGCGCAACTCAGGGTGACACTTCCAGAGTAAACTGGCTTCCCTGATGGTTGATTTTCATATGGCCACAGAAAAAAATGTTATGGGATGGAGATTTCACACTGAACATTCCACACACAGACAAAGATTATCTTTTCCTCTGCTGCAGTGGTTCCCAAACTGCAACACGCTTCCAAATCACCTGTAAGGTGTGTTAGATCTGATGGCTGAGCCCCACCCTCCAGGGTTTCCAATTCAGCAGGTCTGGGGTGGGGCCTGAGAATTTGCATATTTAACAAGTTCCCAGGTGAGGCTGCTGCTGGCCCTGGGACCCCACTTTGAGCACCACTGCTCTACGATAAATGAAGAGGTTCCAGTTATTTTTAATATTTGATTTCTACAGCCAACCTTTTCCCCATTTGACATGAAAACATTTCACCAAGATTTTTTTAAACCAAGGTTAAGATAAAAAGAAGGAATGGAATGTGATACACCTTTGAGCAGTCCAAAATCTTTTTCATCCTCCAAGTAGTCACCCAAGAACTTCTATTTGGGTGGCATGATGGAAGACCAATAAACATGATGTGAACCCCTCTGAGACATAGCAAGGACATCAAACTGGGAGCAAAAATGAAGTCTTGACTGAGATTTGGGAATCCGCAGAGATTCCACCATGTACAAATCCCAAAAGACTATTTAAAACAAGAAGAGGGCCCATCTCTTGCCAGCAGAAGGGAGATTCTGCAGGGATCTTGAGTGTACATCAGGGCAAACCGAGAGATGGGAAAAGCAGAGAGGAAGAGGTTCTTGAGGTCACTATGAATACGAACTGGAGACTGCTTTGGAATTCGATTCTGCAGGAGCGGAGAGTGAACGTTATTTTAAGATATAACTGAATAATTATTTATTTGGGAGAACTCAGCATTATCACGTTATCCAAAATAATCCCAGTTGCTCATGCTTGTCATAAAGTTTGCTAATAATCTGGATGGCAGGGGGAGGTGGGACCCTAACTGAAAACATCTGTTAAAATTGAAAAGGAGAATTACGCCTTGTTCTTATTATTTTGTTCATGATACAACCCTGAAAGAGGGGAACTGAGTGATTATCCGAGTAAATGTCTATATTTATATGCAGAATGTAGGTGTGCTTCAAACCTTGCAGTGTGCAAAATAAAAATGACAGATCTTTCCCATTAAAACAGTGTGGGTCACCCCAGCTGCCAGCTTTTATGCTTCTACTTATTTATGTCTTCCCTAAGGAGATACAGGCACTTTGCGGGCCCTTCCCAAACTGCTGTAATTGATGGATAGTTGGACTTCTTTTAATCCAAGTGTTGCCGAGTGTCTGCAGCTTTGGTAATCGGATCCTACCAGCTTTAGAGACCACTGCCAAAATATCCAGAGCACAGAGGTTTGGCAACGTCATTTAATCATCGCAAAAGGATTACAGAGTGCAAAACAAGCCCCCAAACAGCTAGGAGATGGGCCAATTCAGAAACTGACTCAGGCTAGGGAGCTGCCCAGGCTTGCCCCCTCTCACAGGGCCTTGCACCCCAGCTCTCGAGCTGCCTTCACCTTGGCCTAGGCCGGCATCCTTTGTGGCACACAGGAGAGAAAGGATGTCAAGGGGAATTGACTTTGGATCAGAGAAATAAACAGTGTCTGATCATCTGTCAGGCTCAGGGTTGGTGAATCCCAAACACAGGGTACCCAGATAATCCTGGTGTGGGAAGGTCAAGGCCACAGTCTACCCGGTGAGAGCCTCTGATGGAGAAGCCAGATGGCAAATTTAGAAGCTGCCCCTTGTCTCGTTAAAGTGAGACATTGCTGCTATCTGTGATGCTTTATTTACCAACAATAATACAGTTTACATTGAGAGCAATAGCTTGTTTGCCATTCAATGAATGCTTTATAGCAGGAATTAAGGGTGATTCGTGACTAGGTGCGGATCTGGAATTTCTCAATTACCACCCCAGCTTTAGAGGCCTCTCTCCATTCTGGGTCTAAATCTGGAGGCTCCCAGGTGAAAACCTTTGGTCCTCCTGCTCTGGACGGCTCCAGCTGGCAACAAGGCCCCAGAGAGGCCGCCACTGTTTGCGTGCCAAGCGTGCCATTTGCTTGGCTCTCCCTTGCATGAGTTCCTGGACAAAGGAGAATTCTAACACAAAACCCACCCCTTGCTGCACAAGTTTCTAAAAGGCAACTTTAGTCACTAAAAAAGTGCAATTGCAGACTCCTGTGTAAATCTGATTTGCCATGCTAGGCCAAGCTTATTTTATTACATACATTCTGCATTCTAAGAACTAATAACTTCATATTGTAAACATTAAGCATACAGAGTTAAAGTTCAAGGCCACATTAGATCATTGATTGTCCCTTTTGTCGTGTATCTTTGGCTGGCCGAGATCAACTCGTAGTGTATAAATGCATAAGTTATATAATTATTATATAAAAAGGAAAAAAAAAAAAACCATTGACTTGTATACTTCATTCTGACAAACGCACAGCGTTCGCGACTCAAAAGGAAACCTGGAGCTCGCCTCGCCCCGATGCCTAGGTGATTTCGGATCGCGGTAGCCCAGAAGACTAGCTCTTACCTGACCCTGTGGAGAGCAGGGCCCTCACCTAAGGATGAGGTCCTGAATGTTTCTTTTAAATATCAGACAATTCCAGTTACAATTTTTCTTTTGATAAACAAACAAAAAGAGAGATGCACGATTTTGTTTCTGAATTCTACTACTTGCCCTGCCTCCGTGACGCTGTGTCCTTCCTCGTAACACTGGATTTGGTACAACACTGACCGTATGGAACCGCAAGTCTCCATGACTCAATTCTCTGCAGGACCGACACCGTCCTAAGTCCAGTCTTTACTGCTCGAGAAGTTTCTTTCCCAGTCCTTGCCTCCTCTTCTGCCTCTTCCTCTCCCGCCTCGTCTGTCTACACCCACACGCTTACCCTCCAGACACGTTCTCAGTCCCTCCCTTCGGCTCAGAGTTCCTGTCCTATCGTAAAGGAGTTGGAAGCTTTGAGTTGTCTTCACAGTTGGAGAGAGCTGACCGCTCTCCATCAAATGGAATGAATCTGATTTCGCCCAAAACTGCAAGTGCTGATGAGTTCCCTATCAATGTCTAGTGATGGGCCACAGTCTCTTTTCTTTTTTTTCTGTGTTGATATGTTTCTCTTTTTAAATACAGGTAGATTTATTTTTTCCTTCAAATGACATTAGAAATGGCACGTTAGGTCCAGACTGTGTTATCTCTATTGCTTGAGTTTAATCCCAGTTTAATGCATGAACAGGATCCCAAAGGCTACTCTAAGGTTCACACACTCTTCCTCAGAACATTTTCTTTGGCACTTTGTCCTCATGACTTCATGCTTCTACTTACAATGCCTTTTACAAGGTTGGTCCACAGATGATCTGCCCACGTACATTACATTTGTAGCATCCTCTTTATCTCTGTAGTAATATTTTAGTAATTCCCTCCCACTGAGAGTCTCTGGATCTCTTCCCCGGCTTCCTCCCCCTCAGCCCCAGTCAAGCTTTTTCATTCCTCTTGAGGCACTTCTGATTCATGGTCTCCGATAGAGCTTGTGGCAATTGGTTGGCGGTTGCATGTTGCTGGGAAAGGCCTCTCTCGGGTCTTTAGTAGTAAGTGCCCAGATGCGAAGGCATATGGCTGGCTGGGAGCCTAGTGTTAGGGTAGATCCCTCCTGTTGGTGAATTCCAGTATGGGTTTGGGGCAGCAAAAAAACTGGACGATGTCACGGGGAGGGCTGGAGGGTGGGGGGCCACAAAGTTCATCTTCTGTGGGTGGGTGTGATAGGAGCCCATGTAAGGGAGGTCCGAGGGGTACTTGTACAGGGAGGACTCCGGAGGGTGGGGCTGCAGGGCCTGGGCGATCCCGTGGAAGTCAAACTTGTAGGCGTAGCGCTTCCCGTGGACTTTGGTCATGATGTTTTTATCATAGTAGTAACGGAGGGCCCGGCTGAGTTTATCATAGTTCATGTTGGGTTTGCTCTTCCGTTCTCCCCAGCGCCGGGCCACCTCATCTGGATCTGTCATCTTGAACTCCCCGTTGGTGCCTTCCCAGGTGATGCAGTTGGAGTTCGAGCTGTCTGACAGGAGCTCCAGGAGAAACTGCCACAGCTGGATCTGCCCGCTCCCTGATGAGATGGGAAAAGAAAAGAAAACCCCAGTGAGAACAGGATCTGAGCTAAAGGGGTTCTTTCTTCAACGACAGAAGAGGGGGCTGTGGCGTCCCACCCAGACTTCCTTTACCAGGCTGTGCGCCCATCCGTCAGCGGCTGGGTTATTGGCTACTCTTGTCCCCCAGCTCCCCCTGCTTGTCTCCAGAGAACTGTCCTTGGCTGCAGAGGTGCTGCTTCATCCACCCCCAGGTAGCCCACAGCCTGATGGAGTGACACAGGGTACCAGAGGCCGGCCCCCTTACCTCGAAGAGGGACCAATTCTGTGATGCTGGCCATGCCCCGGGCTCCGCATGGGATCAGACAAAAGCAGGGCTCCAGCTAAGGCCACAAGCTTCCTTCACTTTCCCCTGTCTGATCCTGCGTCCTCACTCCCCCTCTCCTGAGAGATACCCTTAACTAATCACTTGCACAAGTATCCTTAGCCCAAGCTCTGTGTCTAAGGAAGCTGACCTAAGATGATGATCCCTGGTGACTACCAGGCTGATCTACAGATCCAAGTCCTTCCTGGAAACGCAAAGAGGTCCTAGAGGTCAGAGTTCAGGTTTGTTCCATCCATTTCTGACTTCCTTAGAAGAATAGCCAAGTCAACTTTGTGTTTTGGGGGTGGAAGGGCTTACTTTTCCTCTTTTGTGAGGCAGACAGTGCTGTTATGTGGCTGGCAATAATGACTTAATACCATTTATATTGGCTAGGTCAAGTAAAATAATAAAAGTCAGATTTAGGAAATGAACTTCAAAAAGTTTATGGAAAAAAATCGAGAATGGAAGTAAACACCGTTATTTCTAACATAACATTTGGCTGGCATGCAGAAAGCCATTCTGTCAAAACTTTTCCTAGAACAGAATTAACCCACTCAAAATGAGGAAGTTTAGAAAAAAGTTGGCTCTGTTTCAAACCAGATCACCCATTTCCAGTATTTAGGCAAATGCATCTTAACGGAAATCCATGTGTTGTCCCTGCGTTGCAATGCCAATTGTGTTAAGCAGAGTTTCCAAAAGAAAAAACTGTAACAATGAGTGATTGCAAGCCCTCTTGGGGCTTCCAACAGAGTCAATGAGACCTCATTTGACTGGGTGGACAGAGAACTCTCTTGATCCCACTGGAGACCTGTAGATGTGGCTTTTAGGTCTTATTAAATTCAGAGAAAAATCCAGGCACACCATTCTAGACTCTATGCTACAATACTTTAAGACGACTGATGGCTCCCTAAAAGAGAGACATGCAAATATCAACAGTCATACCAGGAGTACCAGAAGAAGTACCAGGAGAGGCAAAGTACCAGGAGTATCTGGTCCTGAGTACCAGGAGAGGCTAAGACGCTTTAAGCAGATTTTAGAAGCTTTGAAAATGTATACATGAGGCAGGTCTTTCCTCCCAAACTCCGAAGCACTGCCTTGGACTTATTACCAAAAAGATTATCTTGTATTATACTATCAATAAATATCAGTAGATATGATAAAATCATTAAAGGAACTGTTGACTATTCAGGGAATTGATGAAATGTAAAACTCAATTATAGACGTGTTTTCTCTAAATGCTCCCCACTAGCTCCCTAAATAAATTGTCCAACTTATAAATCTGTGTTTCCATGTTGGCTACATGGAAATGGATATGTTTGTGAATTTATCCATACAATAGCATCATGAGAAAGGTCATCCTTTTCTGAATTTGTTCTGGAAAATTAGCATTTTCAGTCTAGCAACACATTTGAAATGTATTAACAGCTTGTAGTTCATCGCAATGGAAGCCTTTGCTTTTTCGGGACCACATATTCAAACTGTTCTCAATCAAGTTTTCTTGCCCCCAACATTTCATTAATATGCATTTAAAAAATACAAAGAATAGTTTGAGAAAACCATATGGTTTTAGTATATATATTGTAACCAAAGGATTACTACTTGAAAAAAAAATTCCATATATGACCTGGGAATAGGGAAAAACATAGATTTTTGATTTAACAGTGTAACATATGTTTCAATATAAACACATAGAGTTGTTTGAAAATAAATATTCACTGTCAACCTCCTCCCATACAGAGAACAATCCCACACATTTTGAATAAATACACAGATCTTCCTAAACAGTCAAACTTATACTTGGTATCTATTCAAACCTTGGCATTGCCTCTTGGGAATCTGTCCCTCATCCACCTCCTTTATACACATCTATAGGAGAGAACCAGTGTAGAAAAGTGTTTTCCCATCTCTCCTGTTTCTGAAGAACTAGTAAGTCAGGGAACTAAATTCATGGCTAGAAACTCAAAGTTCAAAGGATGGATGATGAATTTCTCCCTAGACGATTTTACCCATCAGCCCTTGTACACAGGGTTCGGGCCTCTGAGCATTTCAAGAGTCTATGGGAATAAGACACCTGTAAACAAACCTCATCAGCTTCCGAACGTGAGAACAAAACCATAAATGCAAATCAATTAATGTTTAAGTAGATGTTATAAAATGTAACATTATGTCAAGCTCGTTACTTGTTAAATTTAATATAACAAAATCCACTGCGTTCACAGTCTACAGCAGATTTTCTCGCTGTTCGAGAATCCTCAAGGGGGTACAATGTTTGCTGAGAAGTTATAGTCAGTGGTAAATTAAACGAGTTACTCGTGGCCACGAATTTCGAAAGCAATTTATTAAATTCTTCGTTTACTGTCGAAACAATAACACTTACTGTGCACTGAAGGTGCATTTTAGAATATAGAATAGGGATTCCAAAACACGAATGCCTAAGATTTGGAAGCCTAAGAGTGGCTTGGGTATTCCACTGGCCAAACCAACAAGTAAAAGGAGACGCTCTTATAAGACCAGACCTTGCACCCAAACAGCCTCACCACCTGCACCTCAAGAATTACCTTATTCAGAAAACCTCTTCGTATCTATTTTCTCTCTCTATCCTGATAACCTCCTTTGGAACATCAGTAAGGAGTAGCTACTTTTGTCCTAGTTTTGTCCGAGGTAATTAACTAAAAAGGCAGGACCGGGAGGTGGGGGGGACCCAAAGATGTCGGCTGCCCACCTACAGGAGAGTCCAGTGGGGTGAAGGGGCATGGGGCGTGGCTTCAAAGAAGACAGAAGGCAAGCCTTTAATTCTGGGGAAGAAAGTGTTCTCCAAATGCAATTAAAAGAAAAGAAGAGAGACATACTAGTGAAGAGGTACAGACTGAGCAAAAAAGGGCAAAACATCTAAACGGTTCATAAACCACAGAGAAAAGCACAGCTGGGGGTGAGTCAGCAGCTGTGGGTCAAGTAGGAGGGGGTGTCCCCAAGCAGCGCACTCAGCAGCCAGCTGATGGAGGAACAGAGCAGTAAATAAAGCAGAGAGGGTCTTTAAAGCAGCAAGCACCACAGTGGCAATCACTTGGGCTACTTTCTACAGTAGCTGGAGGTGCTGCAGAAAATCCCATGTGCACAGCCTGGACCCCCCAGCGCATCGGGATCAAGGCGGCAGGCACGTGTCTCAGACGGAAGGCTTTGTCTGTGGCTCAGACAGGGCTTGTTGCGGGGGTGGGAGGGGCAGGGCAGTATGGTGGCCGGAAGCACCCCTTTGGAGTTGGCACTGTCGCAGCTGAATGCTGGCTCTGCTCATCTGGCTCTCTGTGCCTCAATGTCCTTGTCTGCAAAATGCAGGTGGCAGTAAAACTATCAAGATGGTAGTACTATCTTGTAGGATCACTATGAGGGTGAATTCGGTACATGAGCGCTCTTATCATGATTTGTTTGAGCTGGAAACCAGGGCTTAAAGAAAGGTACATCCCGGGCTTCCCTGGTGGTGCAGTGGTTGAGGGTCCGCCTGCCGATGCAGGGAACGCGGGTTCGTGCCCCAGTCCGGGAAGATCCCACATGCCGCGGAGCGGCCGGGCCCGCAAGCCATGGCCGCTGAGCCTGCGCGTCCGGAGCCCGTGCTCCGCAACGGGAGAGGCCACAACAGTGAGAGGCCCGCGTACCCACAAAAAAAAAAAAAAAAAAAAAAAGGAAGGTGCATCCCTTGCCTAGAGCCAGGAGATGCCAAAGGAAAACAACCACCTTCCCCCAAAAAACCCCATGCTGGCCAGGCAAAAGCTGGGAATGGTGGTATTCTCAGGGGCTGGCCAGCATCACTGAACGCTGACTGGTACCAGGCATCATTGTGAACATTTTCCATGTGTTTCTTTAATCCCCCTCCCCCCAGAATCATGTGATAGCCCATTGTAGGGGTGAGGAATTACAGCCCAAAGAGGTAGAGTGACTTATCTTGCCCAAGGTCAGCAAGGGTTGGAACCCAGATTCTAGGCCTTGGCGCTGAATCACTGCACAACAACACTGCTCTTGGGCCTGGTTTCTGCACACACCTCTGCAAGTCTCCCCCAGTCCTTCCCTGGGCCTGGAGCTTGCTGGGCTCCCAGTAGAAGGCTGGACACTCCCACCTCCTAACCAATGGCAAAACATCCCTAAAACTGGTCTCTGGTTCCGCATGAAGCAGGTTACACTTTCATGCCCACCATTAGAGACTATCCAGGGAGCACGGAGGGAGCTACTGAACTCCTGCTCCCAAGAAAGCTCTTCCATGGAAAGGCAATTTCCGTTCATCACAGAAGCCACCTTAAATGATCAGCCATTCTGATGGGATACAAAGGGGCTACATCGCTAATATCTGATCCAGGACATAATAATGCAGGGACACACTCTTCTCAGCAGAAGAAATATGGTCCAAAGTGCACCCCAAATGCATACTTTGGATGGAGATGTTGCGATGCTGTTATCATCTTGTGCATTCATACTATATGATGTCATCTTTCCATTTAAAATGGTTTAAAAACTGTTTGCATTGTGAAAAGAGGAGGGGCAGCAGTTTAAAGTGGTGAAGGATTTATTTATCAGAGACTGGGAAACTGGAATCAAACAGGAAGAGGCATTCTCATTAATAGAATGGTAAGACATTCTGGTTTTAGGGGGAAAGGCCACATGAAAGTAACTGACACACAGCCTAAGGAGAGATGGAGAGAAGGCCTAATTCATTATAAACTAAGTAAAAGAAATCTTTATCATTGAGTCAAAAGTTGGATGTTGCCACTTTCCCCAGGCCCAATGGGCACAGTCTTTGCTTACGATGCCAGTGCCGCGGACCTCTTAGGTACCAAGACATTTTCCCACGCCAGTGATGGGTCTGCAGTCTGCTCCTTGCTCGGTCCCAGGTCCCTCTATCCCCCGTGGGCAACCCCAGGTTGCTGGGCACAGCGTGAATAGACACTAAGCTCCCTGCTTAGGGGCCAGCAACTCTCTTTGGCCCCAAGCCACCAACCAAGCCACACCTTTGAGCTGCAACAACATGGGCACAGACTTATATTTCACTTAACCAATTTGTGTGGGTGAAAGGGTCTTGGGCTTCCCTGGTGGCACAGCGGTTGAGAATCTGCCTGCCAATGCAGGGCACACGGGTTCAAGCCCTGGTCGGAAGATCCC